AGAGAGAGAGAGAGAGAGAGAGAGAGAGAGAGAGAGAGAGAGAATTGGTTATCCTCATCCCTCTAGGGAAGAACAGTACAGGTGAGGCCTGTCCAGGCAGCAGACAGACAATTGATGGGTGCGATGGATCAAGTCATCATCAAAGACAGATACCATGAGACCGGCTTTATGGGGACGTCCCACGCGCCTTGAAACACATTGAAGGTACAGTCCATGCTATAACAATATCGCGGAAATGGAACGGCAGCACGAACACCAAGATTCGATGGTGTCTTTCTGATAATCCTACGGAAGGACAGCACGGATCGAAAGGATGACATGGATTGAAGATAAGATGATGATAAAAGTGGGAGTGAGTGAGGGAGGGAGGGAGGGAGGGAGGGAGGGAGGGAGGGATGCACGGTTAGTCTGATTGAAAGAACACATTGTGCAAAGCTTTACTTGCACGGAGGAATGCAATGTGCAGAAGTCAAACGAATCGAACATTACCCTTCTGCCTCTCTGCGGAGGTAATACACCGGCAGCGTGTCCCAACATTACCATTGTGCCTGGTTGGCACCGTGTTCTGGATGGATAGGTTGGAGTGGACGGGAATCAAGCGAATGGATGGATGGACGGAGTCTCACACTGCTACGTGTTTGGCAAGAAACATGGAAAGCCGGAAGCCCATTTATTGGTCCTATGCTGGAAGTGCGCAGTTGGCCGTGCAGTTTTGAACTCACGACCTCGCATTCGCTCGCTAAATCCATGGTCCAGAGAGAGGCTCACGACGACATTGCGAGTTTTGTTTGTATATCTACCTGCCCCACGTGTTGCTGAGGACGTACTCACATTACCATAGCCCTCGCTGAAATGAATCTGACCGCATTTGCACCCGTTTCTGGACGCATATCACAGCAATTACGTCCATAAATCAGCAGAAAAGTCCTCCCGGTAGTGTGAGCATGCCTCAAGAGTATCACTTTGCAATTGACCATGCGAATCCCTCACCCTTGCGAAATTTCCACCTTTGTCACGTCATGGGTTGTTGCCCTTCTATTGCTGTATTCGGAGTGGCTGCTGGACATTCCAACAGTAGACAGAATGCTGTTTCCATTGTAACTATATGTCCCAAATTTACGACATTTTTTTTCCCAGAGACTGCCGTGCACCAATTCCAACATCATGTCCCAGACAGAAGTTGTCCAGGGAGCCCTCTGCGTCCCTTTGTCTCCTCTCTTCTTTGACTCCGGTGTCTGATGCTGCAGGGTGGTAAGAGTCTGCAAACAGGGACCTTTATGGAACAATGACATCGTTCACTGTGAGAAGTGAAGTCGGGTGGACGTACGGTCCACTTACTGTTGTTTATGTTCTTAGGGCCTCTCCACACCACTGTCCAAACAAAAAGAGCGCGAGCGCATCTTCCGCAGAAAGTGGCAAGATGCGTTGGTTACTATTCATAGCAACGGATGCATCCTGGCACCCTTTGCGGGAATATGCACTCGTACTTTTTTCGTGTCGACAGTGGTGTAGTGAGGCCCTTACTTAGACCTGAGATTGGACAAGGAGTAAAAGAGAACGGATCTCAGGTTAGGGATGTTGTTAGCTCTGAGAGAGGAAGTTTTGTCCATTTTCCCTTCTTGTCCCAGAAACAAAGGCTCCGATCTATTGACGAGGAGCGAAGTTTTGTCGAATTGAATGAATTTGAATCATAAGTCCTGTGTTTTTTCTTAACCAAATGTCAATTGTTATTGCCAAACATGGCCCAAA